AAAAATAAGATGGTGCTTTTGGGTCAGCGGTTACTTCGGTAAATCGTCGGTGGCGCTACATAAGCTAAGACCTTCAAACAACATGCAACTAGTAACAGATTATTGTGACGCTGCTTCCAATCAATCAATAACCAGATGATTTTATCCATTTCAGGCATTCGGTTGCAACGTCCTCATTCAATCGATTTTTATGTCCTGTTCAATTTACATCCAAGATTAAGCTTTGTCAGTAGAAGCACTCTAGCACTTTAAGGCACTGAAAAAATAGCTCCCAGTCGATTTTGTTTATTTTTTATTTGATTTTTGAGGATTGAAGAAATGACCGCAAAGTGAGACGCTCGGGTAAGGAAACTTTTCTCTTGAATTAGTAGGGAATGCTAGTAATAAATGGTAAGTACCAGGTAAATCAATACAGAACCTCCTCAAATATTTCAGCTTATTGCTAGGCGAAAAACAAATAACAATAAGTGGTGATGAACATTTAAAGGTATTGGATTACTCTTAGTTTCTGGAATTACGGTAGAGTTTTTCAGCAGAGTAAATGAATCGGAAGTAAAAGCTCCTCGCAAAAGTGCACTTAAGAAATCCATTGATTTTCAAAAAACAAACTCCAAATATCACGGAACCAGATAGGTGTGGTGGGTTTTTGATCTAAAAGTCCAGAAAGACGTGAGGATAGCCAGTTCATGGCCGGTTTCCCAGGAATTGATTGATACGATAGGAAATCGATCTGGACGAGTTCCATCGACAATCTTGGATTCAACGATCAGGCTATTTTATGATCCACAATGTTTTGTCTTGTGGTTTTTACAACCTCAGTTCACGGAACGCAAGTGGTTTGTATGATCAAACGGCGAAACGAACTGCTTTCATAACTTTACTATTGGTAACAAATTCAGTTATTTCTTAATACTGTACATTACAGGTTCGTTTTACGTGATTAACGGTTCTATAATTGATATTTGCTAATCCAGGAACCCTTTTTCCAAGTTTCTCCTCTACCAGTTCGCTAAGGACATGACGATGACTCACGGGAACGTTGAAGCCGATCAAGGTCGTAACGTGAATGATAGTTGGAAAGTTCGGGAAACTTGAGATGTTCGACATGAAAATTTGAGACTGCACCTTTCCAATTACTTTCAAATTTACCAGTATTTACTTTCGAATAGCAGCGGAGAGCAGTAGTGTTTGGTAGATCCCCTT